AAAAAAAAAGAAAATTCCTTTCTCCACCCCATGACGAACTTTCCTGGCCAAAAGTATCTTGGCCGTTCTCGATTCACAATAAAATTTAAGATGACCTCGTAATTTACTCGTGTACACGCGCAAAATGAGGATCTAAAAATATCTCCATCCCTCTCTCTCACTTACACACTCGCGCACGTATCGGCAAGCATTTGCGTCTTTCTTTCTATTATTAGCCGGATTTCCAAATCGACTTCCAATGTGATTGAAGGCGGGATCGTCGCACTCCACGGGGCGCTTTGAGATTTCTCTCTCTTTATCTCCGAATGCTCCATCCCTCATTTGTCACGCTTTTGTCGCTGTCTGCTGCCGCTGTTTCAGCGTTTTTCCCTAATTTTATGTTCAGGTATGTAGTAAAATATAAAACCAAATCTTTGATAAACATAATGAGCAATACAACAAACAAATGTACTTGAAAATACGATGCAGTGCAATACACCGCTTGAGATAAAATAATACTTTACGATGAATCGAGAAAATCATCCTCACCGCTGGTACTTTATCTGGCACATGGGATTTAACAACATTGTTCTATTTTTAAATGTTGCTGGCTATATTTTCATGCTCTTTTATGAAATTGAATAAAAGTTATGAAATCAAATGTTAGAATTTTAATACTATTTTGTGTGCACGTAAATTATCTGATTGACAATACTGATATATACTTTTTAGTATTCGAAGATAAAACTTTTTATTCTATTTGTACAAACTTCCAAACATTTATTCACACATATTATTATTATTATTATTATTATTTAAATTAAATTTCTAAAAGATTTCATGATTTCACAATATTTTTTTGATGCCAATTTATTTTTGTTCATAAATATAGTTACAAAATGATTCCAGTTTATTTTGTGATCAAACACATGGTGGAATATTTATTAATCAACAAATTATCTTTTTTCATAGTTTAAACTAAAACATTTTAAACAATTGATACAAAGAGGTTGTTAAACATCAAACATTTTCCGTCACGTAATATGTAACATACTTGTAAGCTGCTCCAGGGGTGTGTTTCCTATTTTTCTTATAGTTTCATGGTGTTTATTTGTCTTGTTTTCGTGAATGTGAAATTCTTCAGATCTCGCAATAATTAAATCTTCGTTTGAAAGCCTTGGAAAGTAACCAAAAATTTATAGCTGTTCCCCTGTGCACGCATACGTTACCTCGGCCTCAACATCTGGTAAATTGGTATAATTTTTCCATCATTTACTAAGCCGTGTACTTCGTCGAAAAAAGTTCCATGAACGGTTAAAAAAAAAAAAAAACCTTGAGGCGCGAATAACCAACATAATCATGTAATCGTATACTCCGATATCCACGCACGACACGGTCTAGCGCCCAAACCGATGCACAATTTTGTCTTTGGACACCAGGTAGATCGTACAAACGCGCAAAATCTCGTATGTACCAGGCAAATTTTTTCTCTTCCCATCGCCAGGGAGCGTCGAACAAGAGTATCCCAGAAAAACCTACAGAGTTACACGCCGAACGACCCCCCACGCGCCGGTCAATCGATCCTCATCACGCATGCACCACGACTCGCGTAGCACCGGCAGCGTCGTCCTAATTGATAAAAATCGTGGCTACATCCGCAGGAGGCTGGGAGTATGTACGTACAGTCGCCTGGGGGAGAATAAAGAAAAAAAGGGACACGCAAAAAGACGCACCAACCCGGGGTCTAGGGTATAAAAGCCTCGGGAACCACCGATCGTGGCACAGTCCTTTGCCGGAGACGCAGTCGAGAGGTAGGTACCAGGGCCAGGACCTACGACACACACATAAATATACGCTCTGGTTGCTGTGCAAGTGCGCGGATTGAATATTTTGTTGCAAGATCACAATTATATTTATACGTGCATATACTTACCTTGGCCGAAAGGAAGATGAGATCGGCTTGCAGACCGGAGACGATCGTCTGTGCACTCGCTGTTCTGCTGGTTCACCAAGTTGTCGGTCAGTACAATTATACACATTCTCATTATTAAACGCGAGCCCTTCAAAGTTTACCCAGCACGTGCATCTATATGATTTTGATATGTCACCTGCACTCGCGACTCAAATACATAGTCTTTCGCGTAAAAAGTATAAGAAGGGGGAAGGGTCCTCCGTATATCCGGATGGTTTTCAGGCGACAGGCACAGCTCGCAGGTGGTCGAGAGCCCGCGGGTCGAGAGGAGCGGCCTGGAAATGGCGCAGGACTGCGAGGGCAGCTGGTGCAAGTCCCAGCACGAGAGTCCCCTGAGGACGAAGCTGTGGTTCGGCCCGAGGCTAGGCCGCAAGCGCCGGTCCTTCGGCCCACTGTTTCCGGCGACGAGGGCAAGCGCCGAGGCTTACGACGCTCTCCTCGCCGATCTCTACAGTGTGCCCGGTGGTGAGACTTCAATTTCACGGGGAATAATAATAATTTTAAAAGACACGTGTCACCGAACCTCACTCCAAAGATCGGTCAATTTTTTTATTTTTTTTCGATTCAACGAAAAACAATAATTGGTAGTCGAAATAAGGCAATAACAAGTAGAGTTGATATTACAGTTATTATGAAAATTATACAAAGTAATAATTGCATTGTTTGAATACTTTGTTTTTTTTTTTTTTTNTCTCTGCATTGACATTTTGTATGTGTATCCTTTTGGTAAAATCGAGTAAAAAAAAAAAAATAAAATAAAAACACCAACAAACACGAGTTACCCCCGAATTCAATATCCCACCGAAGTGGAAGATAAACGACGAACAAAGCATCGGCCCCCCCGAAATCTCAGCACCATACGCATCTCCGCCTTGAACTCTTCATTCCCAGGATGATTCCGCAAAACGGCAAAACCATCTTCTCCCGCCGATGTACACGATCAATCATCCCTCTATCTCCATCTGGCCCGTGCAACGCAATATCTGCGGATAGAAAAATAATAATAATAAATGAAAATCTGTAAAATAATCTAAATGTGTAAATTGTTACCCAACAGCGTTGAAACTCCAGAAACTGACCGCGTCACCGCAGGGTGTGATCGGCGCCAAGGAGAAGCGGCAGGAGACGACCTTCACCCCGAGACTGGGGCGCGACCTCGGCAACGTGTACCCGATCTACGACCTCGCGCGTCTCCTCTACGAGCAAGTCCGCGAGCTGGAGGACAGCGAGCAGGAGCAACAGACGCCACCACCGAACTTTCCCCCCAGGCTGGGTCGCAACCTCCTGCTCACCGAGTCGTCGACTACGGGGCTCGCTCGCGAGCAGATGCTCCGCTATATTTTGCAGCAGCTTGACTTGTAAGGGTATATAGCAAGGCACTCGCGGTGTTGTTCGTCTCTTTTGATTTTTTTTTTTTTTTTTATGAATTGTACAAACGGGCGATCATCACGAGACCGGCAACAGAATAATTATGTATTTTTACGAGTGGTTCTTCGAGAGATCAGGGAAAATCCCAAGCAGTGGCTTTTTAAAGATTATTATGGTTTCTTTATCGGAGTGCAAGACGGCCGTTTATGTCTTGGATGCTTGAAACTAAATTACTTAATGCTAACACCTAATGTGTTTGCTTTATTAAAGTGTTTAGCATAACAATTATGGATATGANTTTTTCATCAATAAAGTGCGGAAAAGTTAAATCACAAAAAAAAAAAAATAAATAAATAAAAAAAACTATGACAAATATTTCATTGATCAGTCGCCATCGATACTATTTACATCTATACTATTTGTAACACGTTGAATGAATTTATGATATGATTTAAAAAAAAAGTGTACTACGTACTTAATGACGTTACCAAGAATCTGATGATTGACTCAAACACACACCGATGTATTACACATAATATATAACTGTTACGAATATTTATATATAGAAAATAAAATGTTATTTACGATAAAGAATAATTTCATTTTATTTGTTGTACCTCGAAATGTATGGTAAATTTTTAAAAGGTTTTTTTTAGTCTCTACAAATTTATTTATTCGCAATGGATATCGAGTTTACAAAAAATGCAAATCGTACAACTGCAAAAAAGTAAACAGCTACTGTTACAATTAATTAAAAATCAATTTTAAAACGAACAAAAAAGTTAAATTTTTTTTTTTAAATTCATATATTTGCGTTAAAAATTGTGTTAACCAATAAAATTAGTGTACCTTGAATTTAATCAGTTTAAGAGTTCTTTTAATTATTGTATCCTTAGAGTAACGTAATATTTTCAGTATAAAGATATTATATTGAAAAAAAATTCATTTCCAACTTGTTTTATATCAATTCAAGAACATATATCTAGATAATAACCCACTTTATTTATGAATGTATGGCTATGGAAGATAATACACGATTTGTATCGTCCAAAAGTAATTTGTAAAATCTCGAATGAAATAAAACATTTGTACTAAAGTTCAATCTATAAATTTCATCCACGCGTCTAAAGCGCTTCCGATAAAAAAAAAGTCCTTCGAGAGCTACGATTTTTCTTCGTTTGGCGGTTGAATTGACGCAGTTTTAACACACTCGCGTCTATTAACTCAGCACTGCTGTCGAACGCGTCACGCGGAGACAACAGGATCAACGGCTTTCCCGTGATGTATCTCCCGCAGCTCCGTTCCTTTGAATTTGCACCGCTGTTTCTGCTGAGCTTTCACATCCCGTTCAGTCAGATTAAGTAATTGGTACAAAGTGTTTTCCACCTCCGACAGTAAGAACAATTCATTTGGTTGATATTTTTTTTCCTTTTTTTTGCTCAAACCGACTTTTTTTCATGTCTGCTTTTCGTAACCATCCATTATTTAAATTACGTATAGAAGCCAAGTGTAACTTCTCCTGAAAAAGGAAAATTTCCAAAGGTGATGTGGGAAAGTTAATTGGAGACATACATTGAAGTCTTTCTCTGAAAATCTATTAAAGTTAAAATCTTTCAAAGACTTTGTAAATTTTTCAGAGCTAAGTACAAGTGTCACACTTGACGCAAATTACAAGGACAAACCCGAGTGGAAATGAGGGGGAAAAAATAATGAGCACCAACAGACAGGAGGATTTCGGTTTTTTTGTTCTTTTTTATTATTTTATTTTCACAAACGTTACAATTCTCAAGTACACATACACCAGATTCGTAATCATCATAATCATCAAACACATGGTAAAATTATTTTCATCCTTCTCACAATTATTGTGTAAATTATAGCGTCTGTTTCAATTATCATCATCATCATCATCATCGTTATTTTCATCATACTACCATATTCTTCTTCATCCACTTTACCATCATAATCAATCGGCTAATGAACTTCATAAATGTATATAGCATTATCACAACTGCACTATTATTCGCTAGGTGCATCGCCACGAAACTTAAATCGACATATTTTTTGGATTTTATTCATTTATACGCGCTTGCTACTATTTTAATCCTTACAATCTATTTTACTTACTTAGTTTCAATCAAACTATCGATAATATTTACAAGGCTCTGTTAATTGCGAAGTGCCGCGGCTGGTTCGGCGTTCCAATTTTTTTTTTTTTTTTTTTTTTTTTTGCTATAACTTTTTTCGTTTCGTACCCGGACAAAGTTTTCGATATTGTCGATGGAAAATAACCTTTCGGCCGAACACAATCATTTTCTCTTGATACTTTTTTCTCTTCTTCTTTTCATACACTTTTCGGGGGAATAACATCATTTTACGATACAGATTTAAAAAGGTTTCAGGTACTAAATGATAATAATAATATTTTTTCTTCAGGCAAAAAGGAGCACAAGAATTTTTTGGTTTACCAACACATGACTGGATTTTTTTTCCGTCGCTTGATTATCATCAGGATGGACAGCATAGAAAAAAAATGTTGCCCTTAATGTATGAACTTTTTGGAAAAACAATCGTCAAGTATATCGCCTGCCTTTTCGCGCAAATCCCAAAAAATTTCCAATGCCAGCTTCGCTGATACGGTCGTCCGAGAAAGAAGAAGAAAAAAAAACCGATATGTTTGACCGCTTATTTTTTTTAAATATCGTTGACATTTTTGTTTGTACAAAGAGGAGGAAATAAGTGTAAAAATCGTAAAAAAGACAATTCACGTAATCGATCGGCAATATGTATATTTTTATCGTTTTCCTCATTGAAGGCACTATATAGCGAAAGAAAGCAAGGATTCCTATTTAACGGAGGGGCTCGCTCATGTGATCAAATTATCTTGAGCTTTATTGTTAGTCTACAGGGGTTGATTTTTTTTTTTTTTTTTTTTTTTCTTTGCAACTTCAATCATTGAACTGATTTGGATTTGCTTTCGAAATTTCGCAGATTTTCTAAAATCTTTACTAGATACAAAATTACTACTCGCAATCGTTATTCTTTTATAAAAAGTCTTTAAAGAAAAGAGTCTGCGTTTTTTTACAGTAGTTCTCTTCGATACTTAGTTATTTTTCTGATAAATGTCACACATCATTTTCATTGAAAAATCATCAAAGGGCCGTGTACACAATTTTTAAATTTTATTTATTATTGTTGTTAGCGTCGTTTACGTTTTTTAAAATTTTTTAATTTTTTTTTTTCTGTTCATTTAGTACATTTTCAATAGTACGATACACGGATTCAGTTGACTCACATCTTGCTATATCTATTTCTAATATGTATATTTATTTAATATATATTTAACATTTTTATACATTTAATAACCCCACCCGACTAAATTGTATAGCATAAGCCTTAAAAATAAGATTATTCATCTATCAATCGTTAAATTACGAATATAGTTTTTTAATCATGTATATAAGTAACAATACATTGTTATGCATCTTTAATCTTAAGGATATATTTATGTATATTTACATTACAGGGCTAAGATCTCTGATCTCGCTGTGTACTTTTAATTTTCAATGTTTTTTCTTGTGTCATCAATTTCCCCTTCGTCGTGTCATTAAGTATACACGGCTTGAAAAAAAGAAAAGAAAAATTTTTGAAAAAAAAATGAAAAAAAAATTGTTCTCACCAACCGACTATTTACGTAGGTAAGACAATAAACATATACCTCGCGTTCTATTTGGATAAATTTGGAAAAAAAAAGAAAAAAACACGCATCAGCAGTTAAAACTGCACGTAAAAAATAGTCAAAGAAAAAACACGTACATCCTTATTCTTAAGTTTTTTTGTTTTTACGAACTTTAGCGATAATAGATGTCCTACTATGTATTTTTTTCCACTTTTTTTTATTATTTTTTTTTTTTTTTCATTAATGCTCCCTCACAATTAAAGTAACCACTAAAGTTAACTCGCCCATTACGATTCAACGCGTGTTTAACTGTTTGATTTGAACCAAAGATCAGATCAATTTTTTCTGTGAATTACTATCAATTAGCATGAATATTTGATCATAATGTATTTTTACGAATATACTATAATTCACTTTTTTATTTCTTCAATCTACAGATTACAAAAGTTATTATTCAAGAAAAAGTAGATGAGATCTTCAGCATTCAAAGGGAGATCACGCTTATCTCTTCTAAGTAACCGATGCCCGTTTAAAATTTACATCCTTCTCCGATCAAACTTTCGTTTACTGTCACACTAAATGTATACATTTTATTAATGTATAAGAAAAAAAAAAAAAAAAAAAATTCACTCCATTAAAGTATAACAAAAAACTTTAATAGTAGTAGGATCATTTTCTTACTTGATTCATTTTTTTGTTCCACAACACACTTTTAGGAAAAAAAAACAAAACAAAGTACAAAAAAAAAGTATCTGGCAAATGACGAGAGGCAAAATTTTACATTTATGTCTAATCACGGGTGATGCTGTTACATGCACGCGTACGCGTCTTTCTACGTATAAATCTATCCATTTTATCATTCGCGCGTTGAGATCTTGTTGTGCGAGCATATATTAGCTATAATATATGTATATGTGTGTGTGAGTATCGGTATATGTGTGCGCTGCTCTATTTTAATTTTACTTTTCGCTCGTTGACTTGGGGCGAGGCGTAGCGCGTGTTTTCTTTTTGTCACTGGGAACCTTCGGCTTATTCGCACGAATAATATGGGCATGCGCGTGAATATTTATTCAAAAGATAATTAATGCAAATATTTTTCATCCGCTATCAATGTTATCATTGTTAGTGTTGTAAAACACATACTTGCTCGAAAAAAAGTACAGTTCAAAAACATAATTAGATTTTTTTCAAATGTACAAGAAAAACATTTTATACAAATGCATATGTAAATAAGTCAATATAAATTTGTGTTTTTGTGGAATATTATTGAAATAAATATTCACCTACATTGATGGCAATTTTTTTCCGTATTAATAATACGCTTTAAAAACCATTTTTACGATTTTGCTATGATACAATTGCACTATGATTAATAATGTACGATTCGTAATCCAAGTGTAAATGTTCCAACACTGCGAGTCTATGTGATATCTAATGTACAAAACGTGTGACTCAATTGATCATTAAAAGAGTACGAATTGTCTAGAAATATTTTTTTTTCTCGACACTTATCGTCAATAAATTCAAAAATATTTTCTCTATTAGTTTTTACTATGCTGAATATTAAAGAAAAAAAATTATTTTTTGCTCCACACATATTTAAATTATTATACTGTACACTATATATTATGCTACAGTTTTAAACTAAAAATATCATTTTACAATTTTTTTTACAAACAGAAAAGTACCTTTTTTCTATGCATTATTCACTTTAAGTTGATTATGCTTAAAAAATATAGTAATCAGTGTACATATTTACAGAACTTTACAGTGATTAAAGATAGATATACGGGAATACCTGATTTTTCTGTGGTTTAAGCAGCAATTTTGTTTGCAATCTAATTCAAGTATCAACAGCAAGATGCAACAACTTGGTTAATCAATTGATTTTACGCCGTGAATGAGTTTTTTTTATTAATGTATATATTATATGTACACTTTGTCAAATTTTGTCGAATCTTGTTTTCTTACAACAAACAAGCGATTTTCGCGTCTTTGTAAAACTTTGTCTATGATTCAAGATGGTGAAGAAATACGCAAAGGCGATTCTCAAAGCACAATTCGTGCCTTGAGTAAATCGAGTTAAGGGATCAAACGTTTCAGACTTAGCAATCTTCTCTCTCTTATAAAAGATGAAAAACAGGGAAAGTGTACTTTTTTTCTTATAATTACATACACTATTTACGCATATGGCAGTGCAACACAAGATTTGTGAGGGATTTTAAATTTACTTCAAGTAATGTATAACGTGCTACGTCTTTTTTTTACCCAAACAAAGCAAATATGTGTGCTATCACTGTATGACAATAAGTGTAAGTGTGTACGTATTTGAACGTCAATAGAATCAAACAGTTAAAAAAAAAAAGGAAACAAAAACACTATAAATTTGTCTGATACTACACGTCTTAATTTGTATAAAAATGTTGAAGCTAGCTCTAAAGCAAAGTCAAAGAGCAATTATCAAAAATTAGGCTCATACGGATCCAGTTGCATTGGGTAGCAGCATGTAACGCGCAATTCTTTATTGCTTAAACATGTGTATCTTGTCAATCTAAATCTAAGATTAGAATAATATCGTAATTAGAGGTATTAGAAACTTTTTCTGCAATAATATTACAGTAGCCATAGTAGAGTATAGATTTAAACACTAGGTCGCTTACCAAATGTAGGCATAAATTGGTAATATTAATTTTCAATCGTTCACATCTAATTAATAATAGTGCTCCATCCGAACGTCAAATCCAAAATTTTCATCGTTCATCTTCCAACAATGTACAATTTTCTCATCCGATAAATTATGCTCGGAATTCCATTTCTCATTTATCTGTCAGACCAAAAATCGATAAAATGGCAGACAGTGCAATAAAAGGTAATTGATATCATTCAGATATGGTTCAGAAGACTATAATTTTTGTTTTTGTTGAAAACAATCAAGTAAGATTTCTTTACCCCTGAATATGAATAGTCTTCAATCAATTACATTGCTTGAGCTGTCGAGATTTACTGTGTCATGAAGCAGACACTTTATCTCAAGCATTATTATTTCAAAAGATTTTTCAACGTCTTCCAGTATCAATGAAGAAAACGAGTATAGCCTCAGCTCGTAGCATCGTGGTACTCGCACACGCGGTTGTTAATGAATGCTTAGAATTTTTAAAAAGCAATTTTCTGAGTCTAAAGTCTTACCACCAGCCACTTTCACTTTTGTTCACCATTTCTAATAGCACCTTCCTCCGGAGTAGTCCCAACAAAATCGGTGGTGCGTCTTCGATAATTGCCTAGTCTACCCGATCCAAAGGAATCAGTTCTATAGCGTCCATACTGAGACAGATTGACGCTCTGCTTTTGTTGTGTCTGCGATTGTGGGAGTGTCACTTGGCTAGAGCCACCAGATAATCGCCGAATGCGGTTACCAGCGGAGAAATCGACTCCGCTCGCACTTTCCGACACGCTTCTGATGCGACGATTGGCAAACTGTGATCTCTTAAGCTCACTGATTTTTGGCTGAAATTCGAAATCGGATTTACATCAGTTGAAGCTTTTTTAGTGAAATCATAAACATACGTGTGATGTTTAAACAATTACCTCCAATACTCTGAAATCGTCGATGGTCTTGAACTTTTCGAGGAATCCCTGTAGTTTGGGATCGACGGGGAGGTTACTAGCATGTTTATAATACTTAAGGAAGGCCCAAAATTTCTCTAATCCGTAGAGTTGACCTGAAACATTGTGTAAAATTTATTGGTAAACCTTGACATAAAAGTCGACAAATAGTTTCATATTTTTTTTACATTTTTTTTTAAACAAAAATAAGCAGTCAGACAATCCTCACCATTTTCATAATCATTCATTGTTTCAACTTGGAAGTCCTTGTAAACTTGAGGTCTGAATTTCTTTTCCAAGCCGTAGCTATAGAAGCGGAACAAGCATTCGAGCCCATAACGATAGCCCTCACTAGCGTCCTCGAGAGCGACTCTTCTGAATTCCTCATACATGGTACGATTGAAATTTTCTCTTAAGAAGAATGACCAAAAGCGGAAAATGGTGTTCATTTCTTGTGACTGACCAATGCCCAATCTTTTGCGTTCTTAAAGAAAATTTTTAAAAATTGAGTATCATTACAGCAACAGTTTGTAAAGCAAGTGTATCTCATAAAATGTACCTTTCAGACAACGCGAATGATACTTGTGGTATACTTGTTGAGTAAAACCGTTTTCTTTCAACAAAGCATGACTAGGATGTTGGAAAGTGGGCAATGATTGAGGAGCACTTCCGTAGCTGCTTGACAAAAAGCCTTCATTCGGACTCGAACCTGTACTGCTACTAGAAACGAGAGAAAATATATATTAGTACAAAAATAAACTAATGACGATTCACATGTATGACTTATAAATGTCAACTGTAGCAAGTTTTCATTTAGTGCTTAAGCAATGCAGTAAAGCGCTAAATTAAAAACGTGCATTTTATTTCGCACACTTGAATCCTTTCCGAGTAAAGTTTATTAATTAAACGGAATCACTTATATGTGCCTTTTAAATTCAAGCCCTTTGCTACGAATTCTGACTTACGTACCCTGTAGAGTATGTTCTAGGTCTGTGCTCCTTAACATCCATAATCCAACCGACGTGATGCTCGACTGGTGGATTATTGCTGTGACGGGTTTTGCGTTTACGCGGAGTAATACAATCGACAGCCGGCTCATCTTTGACTACGCCAAAGAATCTCGGAACGGCTCTGTGATTTTTGAGGGTGCGGTCGTTACGACGCCTCTTCTCCGGCCTCTCGGATGCCACGTCGATTGTAACGTGAGCCGAAGAGCTCTTTGGCTCGGTTGGTAGTTTGTCTTCACCATCCAGTCGAGCTGGGGGAGGAGGAGGTACTTCGGGATTTGCCTTGCGTGGTGCTTTTGGAGCCAACTTGTCAAAATCCTCTTTGCTGATAACGCTGATGGTTTTGTACTTTGTGCCGGATGACGATAAACTGTACTGCAATGTTAAAATAAACAAGAGGCATTTATAAAAAATAATTTTTTTTACCGATAAGGTTATTACTGTACTATAGATTCATTTCAGATAGGGTATTAATCAACATAGCTTACTCTGCCGGGAAAAGAAGACAAAATGTAATAATTTTCATCACGTGAGAAATGTTCTAAGCAAAACTTAAAAAAAAATCATCGTGGAACTCACCCGTTGATCATCTCCCCACAGATCTTCTTCGTAATAATACAAGCCGTCGTTGATAGCTTGCACAAGATCCTGCGTCATTTTTGTTCGACTGGTCCAGTCACCAGTACGGTCATGTCCATCGTGCTTTGGAATTCTCGTCGACGTTGTTTGCGTAACAATCAATAGCTTGTTAATGTCTTTATCGGTAAATTCGTTATCGTCATCTTCATCCCTAAAAATTTGAGTATTTTTAGAAAAAAATTATAGCCTAACGTGAGTGATACATTAATTTTCTTTTTTCTTATAGTTCAGAAGTAATTTTATCAGCATTTTTCATCAGACGGGAAAAGAAGACAAAATAAATATTTTCATCATTGAATAGAGTCCAAGTTAAGTGTACAAACTTCCTTGTTTATTGAAAAAGTATCTTACCACTCGGAAAATGTGTTGTGGCGTCCAGTAGGTGGAGCATCCAATTCCTCATCGAATTGGAAGTCTAACTCTTCTTTTTCGTGACCAACATGATTTGATATTTTATTGCCATTCATAATTTTTTCTTTCTCTTTTGAAGCTGACTTCTTCTTCTTAACCTAGTTTGAATGGACATTTATTTTTAATTATAACACTTAAAAAAAAATAATAAGAAGAAGATTAAACAAACAAGTTATTAAGTTTCTGACTCAGAAACACTACTTGAATTGGATTCTCTGTGAATTATTTACCTCGTGCCATTCGTTCACTACTTTAGCCTCCTCGTGTTTTTTTTTGTTCTCCATCTCAATGTCACCCGATGCTTTATTTTCAATGCTGTTTAACTTTTTCTCTTCTACATCCTTATCACTAATTTCCGCTTTTTCATTTATAGTTTCTTCGTATTTCTTTTCGGTATTTTGGATACTGTTAACTGTCGTATCTTGTACTTGTTTATTGGCAGTGAGTACGACTGGAATGAACTCTGGCACTTCTGGATTGAGAGTGTCGGCGATCGATGACGTGATGCTCTCGGATTCGCTGAGACGCAGCTCGTCGCCGTTTACAGGGGGAACGGGGTGTAGCAGAGTCGGCACGGGCGGTGCAGGAATAGCCGTCAGAGGCTTGGCAGCTGGCTGGAACTCGGGTGGTTGCGTGAAATGGGGATACGATATTTCGTTGGGCGAGGTGGACGAGACATCGGAGGAGCCGGAGTTGATTGGGTTACCATTATCGAGGATGGGCCATATTAACGGGTCGAATCTTGTGCGCACCTACGAATGGAAATTAACATAATTAGAAAGGTAAAAATACATTCACAAGTATGAATCACAAGTAAACATGTGGTTTAACTGTCGCAAGGTAATAATTAAACTCCAATCATCGGACGTATCCTATTGGCGTTTGCGAAAGCCCTACATTAATCTAGCACGTATAGGTATAGTTTTGGCAAATTTGAAGTTTTACCAAATAAATAATCCATTGTGCTTGCATGACAAAACACACTTAAAAATTACCTTAAAACCATCAACTATTTCTAGTTTATCTGACTCGGTAATAGCCTCTATGACTAGAGAAACATTCGTGCTCAAAGCTTGCACGCGATGGAAGGAAGCAATCAGAGTTATCGGCAGGAAACCATCTGCGTCCATTTTTCGTCTCAGGAAAAAGTCTCGCATCAAATTTTCTTCACTAAAGTAATATTCACTGAAAAAATACAATAATCATTGTTGAAAATGTAAGTCTATTCTGTTTCAATTTTTCATGACGTTGAAGAATCGTAGTAACTTACATTTGCTTCCTTATATATTCCTTAACTGTCGTATTATCTAAATTCAAGAAATTCGAATTGTTATAGTAAAACGTCCCCATGAAAGGCATCATGTACGATGGATCTGCTGGACTAAACTTGTTCGACTGAAAAACGTACAGAAAAGCAACAACGTAAGTTACGGGTCGTAAAAGGATCGATTAAAAATTTTTAAAAATGTCAAACCCATACGAAAAAAATAAAATAAAATAAGATACAATGCATGGGGATCTTCACCTGAGTTATAATCACCTGAGTCGGAAAGTCAGTAGAATATGCCGGGTAATCGTGATTTCTCTGACGAATATAGTTGCTGGTGCGCGACACGCTTCCGCGACCTCCACGGCCTCTGCCCCGGTAACTTGCACCACCTCTGCTACCGCGACTGCTGCGATAGTTACTGTTGTAATTCGATCTATCGTACTCGCGATCTCTCCAATTTTCATCCTCTGTTGAAGAGCAAACGGCTACATGTAACCAACTCGTTGGATTGCGGTTTTGAATAAAATTGTTTTATATTCTGCTCACCATTGCGCCGGCTGTCATTTTTGTCCCTTTGAGAACTATGTTTAGGAGAGCGGTCCCTTTTTCCGCGATTTTTGGTCATATCGATTTCGAGAGGAACCCACTTTTGCTTGTTAGCTATGGAGAAAAGTTAAATTGTCAATTCCAGATAAATGCATTGCTTTTACTAAAAATTAATGACATTGGATGACAAGTTGACGTAAAAGAAAACAAAATGTTTACCACCGCAAATAAAGATATTTTTAAAATACACCGTTTCAACGTGATAGTGTCAAAGTGATATAATCTAAAAACCACAGAACTTCCCTCACGATTGTTTGTTAATAAAACGAGGTAGAAAAAAAAATTCACACAACTCGTCACAGTCGAGTTTAACGTTAACCCAATTTATAAAAAAAGTACCAACTGTCAACTACTTTACAAGATCACTGGACATTTTTTATTAAATTACTCATTTTCTATGTAATGAAACAACAAAATCATATCAATTTATGCACGATTTTCAAATTTTTAAAATCATTAACGAGTAGCAGAAATCTAAGGTAAAAATGAGAAAAGAGAGGCAACTAACTTTGACTTTTTCTCCTCTTATCGGCGTTTTCGTCACTCTCCTCGTGGCAGTGGTTGTTTTGCTCCTTGTTCTCTTTGCCTTTAACTTCAGGAGCGACTGGAACGAGGCTCTCTTTAGCTTCACTCGGATTCTCAACGACGCCATTTTGCTTTGGGGCGGAATTCGCTATCGCCTTCTTTGGTTGCTGAAAAAACCAAGAGACACGCAGCGTCAGTGATAAGAAGTACTCGATTTTTAGGAATTTAGCGATAACAAGCGAATGGCGAACTTTTTGTGAGATATGCAGGTTGGACTCATAATACAGTATGGCCTGTAATGAATTACTGGGACTTTAGCTGTTTACAAAAGATTGAAACATAATCAAGCGTTTGAACGAAAGTAATTTATGCAATTTTTATCAACCACATGTTAAAAACACTGAAAACATTCAAGTCAAGTATCGCGAAGCATAAATAGCGAGAAGAAAAAAAACGGATTTCAAGTTTGTCATCAGCCAGTCAATGGGTACAATCAAACGACTAACTATTCAATAGAACAGTAAAGCAGTGTTGAACGTTCGAATGATGCAGTTGGTCGAGAGCTCATTTGCATTGCATATTTAAACCGTACTGATGGATGTTTGGTGTGTAGGTCTGTAGCGCGAGAAAAGCATCTAGACACGAATCACAGGAAGAGGAAGAATATTTAGTATCATGAGAGGAGACCCTTACCTCGCCTTGAGCACCCAAAGTCGGCCAGTCGCCGATATCCGAGAAGTCGCTCGCCTGGAATGCGAAAAATAACAAAAATTTAATTAAGGATTATTTGTATCAACCTCCCTTCCCTTCTACAACTCGCAGCTTCGGCTCATGTACATCTCCAGAGCTGCGAATGATGATTTTACAAGTAACGTGTTTTTTTTTTTTTTTTTTTTTTTTACCATGGCTTGAATTTTCATGTCAAACGATGGAATCGCGTGTGCTGGACAACGGTACGGCATATTGTTAAGTATCATTTTTCAAAACAGCTTGCAGCAAGGTAGAGAAAAACATTGTTTCACGACAGTGTGCGTGATAAAAAAAAAAATTAAAATAAAATGGTAAAAATGTCAGAGGGTTTGCGAGTCAACCCCAATCACTGGACAGTATCCTAATGGTGTTAGCGATCCCTCTCTTTTGGTCTAGCACTGGTGCTAAAGCCGGTCGAACCAGGAGTCATTCGCCAGCAGAGAAATCGCTCAGTGCTGTTGTTTGTAGTACCGTACGCGGTAGAGGAAGCGCGAAAGTAGACGAAATAAGTAAAATTGTGTTACTGAACGCATTTCCTCCTCCGCTTGAGGGTTTACTGGAGGTCTTTTACTCGTTTCGGTTTTTTTATGAGACAAAACGATTTGTGGGTTTTGTCTGTGTGCTTACCTTTTGGTTGTACTTTCGTCGGTCTTTGGGAGCTCTCACGATCGTCGGGTGCGCGTTGTTGCTTATTCCATTTTCTGAAAAAAAAAAGAAGAAAAAAAAAATTGATTAAATTATGCATTTTTGAAAATGATTTTACACACTTCCTCCACAAATTTTGTATGCAAGTTGTGAATGAATCTCAGATATCAGATAAGCACACAGTATTAGTGAAATTTTATTATTGGTATAACAATGGATACAATTTTTTTAATTATTTATGAACATACACATGAAACTTTATTGCGCTCTATCTGATTTATTATTACCAACAAAGCTGTTGGATAAGGAAAATGCTAAAATGTCGATATAGAAACAGAAATTAAAAATACTATCAATCATAGGAAAAAAATTCACAGATTTTATAAGCACCCTCATTAGAGATCGTGAAATAAAAATTAGAATGTAAATAAATAAATCAACAAACGAGTATTTCACAAGATACGTTCAATTCATAATAAATGTTATTGTAACTTAATAATAAAATCATTATTTTTAGTAAAAATTATTAGCATCATGATGTCAATATAATGAATTTGAAACATATAAAAAAAGGTAAGCTTGTTTGTCCTGTGAAAGACTGTTTTTCTGCAAAACATATGGTGATTCATAAATGTTTCAGAGCGTTTTTTCCATACTATCAATGATGTTATCATTTATTAAATACTATACAATTTGAAAAAAATAATCCAAGTCTTTGTTGACTAAATGAGTTCTACTATTTTTTAAATTAAATAGATCTTTGTTGTTTTAAATAGATATCAATTTTTTTTCAATTGAAAAGATAAAGTAAGTAATTAATCAAGTTATTCTGATAGATCAGTCTACCAGTTAAGGGTTATTAGACATAAATAAAAATATAGTCATATTATTTACAGCAAAAGAAATAAAAAAAGAATTAATATTGAAAAAATATAATTACAGTATGTTATTTTGATAAGATATGCCAGCTAAAGGTAACAATAATTGTGTTTAGAGAAAAAACAATAATAAGTAATTTATTTATATTAAGAAAAAATAGTATGATAAATAAACACAACATATGGTTTATTCCTTCAAGTATTTCATTAGTAAAAAAATCATTATTTGTATGTTTTTTTTTTTACATATAAAAACCGAAAACATTCACGTAAAATGCAATAGAGCCATAAATACAAATTCTATTTTATGACGATTACAAGAAATATCACGACTCGGAATTAAATTTTTTTCCTCAATAAAATGAGTATCAAATCAAAATTTTATTCGTCAATAAATTCAATGTTGACGATATGTTATACGACACGATGGGATAAAAATAATGCAGCTCACGTGTGCACTTGTTCATTTTAATTTACAACTGTATCGGTACATGAATTTTACACAAAATTGCGTGTACGAGTTAGTACGAGACGCGTTTATACCTCGAAAAGTCCGTGTGTGCGTCAAACGCTCATACTTTTCCTGGACGGCTTATCTTATGAATACGCGCACGTGCACTTTATACACACACTTACAAGTGCCAACCTAGCAAGTGCATTCAAACGTGAGGCAACTAATACCCACAGGAATGCAGTACTTTAGTTTAGCATTGCTCTTGTTTTGGCAATTGTCTAACACATTGTCTATTACCAATCATTGCGGAGGCTGTGCACAACAGAAGCTAGTCGTAAATAAGCGGCATTTGTCTTGTAGGGATTATTGATTGTCGGAGGCGTTGTTGTTTTGTTGGCCGTTGTATTTAAATAGTGTAATGGCGTGACAATTGTTTTTTAGATTGGTTTATTGTCGCATATGTTTATAAAAGCACAAGTGAGCTATTTCATAAAGTCATATAGAAATTGATGGTTGACACTCAAGTAAGAAATTTGGTTGTATCAGTTTTATACACGGCCGTAATTTTGAGACAGCTATTTTCATTATAAATGTATTAAAACATATTGTAATCAAAATTAATAATTGAATCAATTTTTAGAATGTTGAGCGACGTTTTAGAGGATGGAAGCTTAAAATAAAATTCAATTAAAGAAATGAAAAATATTATATTTGAGAGTGTATTACTTGATAAAATGTTACTTGAAATTTGAATTTATAATTGTAAAACCAATTAAAATATTCGTAATTTAACGTAATTTTACCCAATTTATGTAATGGGTATGAGAGTGTTTTTTATATTTTGTGGAAAAATATAATTCAATGACAACACAGATGTAACAGGTATTTTAGAAGTTATAGTTGTAACGTTATTTAAATAAACACCAACAAAAATTTTTTTAAACTAGACTATAGATATTAATTTATAAAATTAATGGACTGTCAATTATTTAATGAATTTTAATGAGAAACATTCGTGC